AGAGTCCCAGTTGACGGCGTTTCAACAAAAAGCTAGAGGTTGGAGACCTTGTCAAACGGTGTTTTTGACTAAAGTCCCAGAGGGTTGGAGTCCCAGTTAAACAACATTTAACTGAAGTCCTAAAAGGGTTTTAATGTTTTTATCTTTACTTTTATCTAGTTATTAACTTCTTTTTATTTCTCTTTCACACTGTCTATGTAAAGCCCCACGGAAAACGTCCCAGTTCAGCGAATCTATATCTAGGGCTGTGAGAATCCTTGTTAAATGACGTTTATCTAAAGTCCTACGGGGTTTAGAGTCCCAGTTGACGGCGTTTCAACTAAAACCTAGAGGTTGGAGTCCTTGTCAAACGGTGTTTTTGACTAAAGTCCCAGAGGGTTGGAGCCCCAGTTAAACAACATTTAACTGAAGTCCTAAAAGGGGTTTTAATGTTTTTATCTTTTTAAATCTTTTTCAAAATGTCTTTCTCACTGTTTATTCAGTGTCACATGCTGTTTTCATTTTAATTATGTAAAGCACTTTGAAATGCCTTGCTGCTGAAATGTGCTATACAAATAAAATTTGATTGATTGATTGAAGACCAGTTTCTGTTACCGGACCGGACCGGTCCGACCGGACTGGCTGGGAAATCAACAGACGGCCGGATGGAAAACATTTCTGCTGATATCTGGGATGTTTAAAGTGTCCAGAGGTTAGAAGCCGGGCCAGACGGAACCGGGCCAGATAGAATCCAGTTTTAGAGCAAATTACTGAGTAGAAGTAAACAGAACCAGAACTCGGTCAGTTAAAGCTGCAACACATCGCCTCATCTGAACTCTCCACAGGTTCGGTTCATTTTTATCACCTGGTCCGGTTCTGGCCCAGTCAGGTTCTGTTTAAACCAGCTGGTTCCTTTGGGTCTCCAATGAGTTGACTGGAGCTCCAGAACTGGACCTCTTCTCAGTTCTGGAGAACTAAAGTACCGGAGAGGTCCAGTTGTGTTCTGGGAGACTGAGCCAGTTCCTCTAAGGTTCTGGACCGATCTGAAGTTCTTCAGGTTCGGATTAAAGCTCAGGATGTTACCAGAACCACATGAGCCCAGTCAGGGTGAAAACAACCCGGATCGCCTGGTTCTGGGACAGACCCGGTTCTCCTTCTAACTCACCTGGTTCTGGTGGAGGTCCAGTCCGGTTCTGACCCGTCCGCTTAGAGAGAAGAACCGGGTCCAGCGATGCAGAGAAAAGTTTCTCCTGGTTGTCAAACTGAGCAGACCCTTCAAAATAAAAGCTTTAAACTGTAGGCTGAAGAGAGAGAGGCAATCCCAGTCAGACCAGTGTGTTCCCAGTCAGACCAGTGTGTTCCCAGTCAGACCAGTGTGTTCCCAGTCAGACCAGTGTGTTCCCAGTGCCTCTGCTCTCGGGTCGATGGGTGGGACAGGAAATAACTGGGCGGCTGCTGGATTTTTTTCTCCTCTGTTTTATTTAGACAGAAATAAATGTTTAGCGGCAGTGGCGTCCGACAGGAGGGGCTGCGGGGGCCACGGCCCCACTGGAAAATACTGGTTCCCCCCTGAGAATCATAAATCATAGTCATAAATGTAACACAGAGTAAATACATTTTTTAAATTACCATATGCACACACATATATATATATTAATTTATCTGATTTTTTTTTGTTTTTTGTTATTTATTTATTTATTTATTTATTTATTTATTTATTTTTGTTCCACCTTAAAACAAATTTTTTGGGACCACCACTGGCTGTGGATGGGAATTCATTTACAAAACTAAAAAATGCTTTGACAGTCACTGATTATTCCTAAATGTTGGTAAAATAAAGTTTATGATTTTTTGTAGTAATAAAGAAGTGCTGAAAAGATTTAATAATTAATGGGAGTTCTCATTAATGAACATTTGTTATATATAGAAAAGATCAAATATTCTGAAGTATTTGTGTTCCTGCATGGTCTATTTAACTCACTGTATTGCTTAAAACATTTAGAAATATTTTTAAATATTTTCGAGCTGTTAGTTGTTGGTGGGAGTGGATCACACAAATATGGAACTATTTGTTATAAAACGTACGCACAAACAGATTTATAAGATGAGAAAAATTATATTTAAAAAGGAACTGAGATATCAGATATGTTTATTCATCTTTCTAATTATTCATATAAAACCAAATATTTTGTGTTCTGGTTCTGCAGAACTTCGGCCCGTTTTCAGGAACCGTTTGAGGAGCTGCTGATGCTCATCATGCTGAGGAGCGGAGCGGCTTCCCGCCGCGGCGCTCCGAAACAGTTGGATTCGTCACATTCCCAGCTTCGTCTGGAGCCTCAAACCAAACACGGCCTTCTCCTGCAGCCTGGCTTGTTTTTCCCCTCCAGTGTGGTTTCCTGACTCGTTACTCAACAGCAATCAGAACCGAACTCAAACGGGTCAGAATCATCCAAATGCCACTTTTAATTGGAAAAATCACTTTAATCATTTCACATTTAAAGGGCCTTTTCCAGGCACATTGAGCCATTTTAATAGAATAATCCAGTACATTCAGTTCTTATAAAAATGCTGCATATATGAAATGTGACTTAAGAGATTAGGCTTTGTAATTCTCCTTTAAAAGCTTCTGCTCTGACGGAGGCTCCGCCTCCAGGAAGTCGTCCCAACATGGCTCCTCTCTTCACCCTTTAACATTTGTACGAGTGTCGCTCTGAACAGCAGCTCTTACAATGAGCTCAGCAGCTGGTGCTAATTGCTACTGGCTAGTCTGAAGGAGCTGAGTGGGGGAGGAGCTGCACCTCAAAGGCAGGGATAGGTCCACTCAGGTGTTTATCAGCTGAATGGTTGCCATGGAGACTGAAGGATTTCTCAAACATGAAAGAATCAAACCAATATGCCATGGAGAAACATGAAAATGTGATGGAAAGATAAAATTAGTTGATTTTACACGATACCGGCCATTTAAAAGACAAAGAAACAGGTTCTAATGTGCTGGAGTTAAACCTTCTGCATCAAACAGTGTGACTGTTTTCCTCCTGATGGTCTGGTAGACTTGGTTTTCATTCATCTGCTCCACCTCCAGCTGCTGTGGCTCTGAGCCAAACCAACCTGTTCCCCTCCTGGCCTGTGGGGGCGCTGCAACAAGAACCACTGAAGGAAACGACACAAAAACCCCTGAAGACACTGAGAGCAACTTCCTTCTTCACCAGATGGAAACAAGATGGAGGATTTTAGCAGCTGGAGGATTTCTCTTTAGGCTAAAGACCAGGAGCCATTTCTGCTGCTAGCGCTAGGCTAACACGTTAGCTTTGGTTGTATTTACCCAGAATGCCCTGCGCTGTGGTCCACTTTCAGCTTTTGAAGTGGTCTCCGGTCCACTTGGCGTTCACTTCAACCAAACCCAGACTGAGGTTTGGAGGACCAGAGGTCAGAGGTCGGTTAGAGTTCACACCTCACCAACTAAACCAGATTTTGACTAGACAAACGGACTGGAGTTGGATTAATGACAATCTGGATTTTTTGGACACTTTTATTATCAATAACAGTAAAAACCAGTCCGTTTTTAATCAGAACCCAGTTTTGAATCCTTCCAGAAGTTCTGGTTTCCCTCCAGTGAGAACCAGGGATAAATAGTATTCACGTCCGAACTGGGTCACCTGGTAGAACCAGGTCTATAGTGGAACTGAGTCACTTGGCGTTCCTGCAGAACTCTCTCCTCCCGCCGCCGTGGCTGGCGAAGTTCCGGACCCTGTGGATCCGGGCCAGCTGGTTCTGGACGGTCTGCAGGATGTCCACGCGGTCGGGTACGTGCACATAGCGCACGTTGCGCCCGGTGACAAAGAGCTGCTGCAGGTGCACGGTGCGGCCCCGCCGGTCCTGGAAGACGACGTCCTCCAGCCGGATGTTCATGAAAGCGTCCACGCTGAGGACGCGTCCGCGAGCCGTCGACTCGTCCCGCAGTTCCACCGTGGTCACGTGACCCTGCAGGCCCTGCAGCAGAACCACCAGGCTGTTCTCCGCGATGGTCCGCTCCCGGATGGAGCCCGCCGCATCGCCACACGGGCCGGGGTCACCGGGGTCCATGGAGGGACACAGAGGTCAGAGTCCAGGAGAATGACCCGGTTCTGGATGGAAATCTTTCGACCTTTCAGGATCAAAACCAGAAAGATCTGAACAGGTATGGCGTCAGATTTTACTTTGACATTACAGCTGCAGTGTTAAACTTTAATAAAATGTTTTTACATGTTAATTAAATCTGTCATTATGTTCAGAAAGTTTATGATACAGATCATCTGAACAGATCAACCTCCAACCCTGAGCAGCTGTTGCTGTCTGAAGAAATGCACCAAAAACAACCAATCAGAGCCAGGAGGCGGGGCATAGCGCTGTCAATAAGCCTCCTGTGTAACCTGCTAAATGTGCTAACAGCGGAGATACGACTTACTGTTACAGGAAAACTGTTTCTCCACTGCAATCAATGGCAATGCTAACTCGTATTAACAGCAGGCTGTGCTAGCTGCATCACAGAGAGTGATTAACAGCACTTACACACACACACACACACACACACACACACACACACACACACACACACACACGTTGTTTGAGCCTTAACGGTGTCCGTAGTTCTCTAGATAAGCGCTGAAAAAGCGCGTGCTTGTTACGCGCCCATAACGCAGGGGGAACCATAGACATTATATAATATATATTCTTATATTATGTCTATGGGGGGAACCGTATCTGATGGGGAAACGGGGACCGACGTAACACCGGAACCTGTCCGGTAGCGCAGAGGCTGATCCTGACCAGCAGCTCTGGGCTTCTCCTCAGAACCCAGAACCGGATCGCTGAAGGTTCTAGTTCTTCTGGACCTTGTTCAGAAAGTGATTCCTGGTTCAGAACCAGGACCTCTGCGGTTCCGAAAGGATTCAGTTCTGACTGCAGTTTTTACATCTGGGTCAGAACCAAGCAGAAATTTTAGTGATCCTGGTTTCTGCTGAGTCGGGTTTTCTGCCTGTATCGGTTCCGATCCAGATCAGAGCTGAAACCAGTTCGAACTCCTACCTGAACTGGTGGTTCTTGTTCTGGTTCTACTGGACCTTCTTGTCTTCAGTCACTTTGTATCAGGTTTAAATTCCTCTCATTGGTCCTCTGCCGCCGCAAACAACAAACGACGCACAGCGTGATGACGTAAGATCCTGTTATTTATCCGGCCCGTGAGGTGCACTACCGCCACCCCATGGCCCCAACCTGCCCGGGGTCACCCTGGGCAGGTCGCCAGTCCGTCGCAGGGCAACACAGAGACACACAGGACAAACACACACACTCACACCTGGGGGCCATTTGGAGAAACCAAGAGGCCAGTTAACCTGACAGTCATGTTTTTGGACTGTGGGAGGAAACCCACCATGCACAGGTTCGATTGTGCAATGTCCAAGAGCAATTTATTTTTATATTATATATACATATAATATATATTTATTTTTTTCTTTTTATCAATAAAATAATTTCTACATACATTATCAAATATATATTATTGTAAAAACAAATCATTTTGTAGTGAAATTCTGTGTCTTTTAAATTATGACAGAAATTATTACTAAAAAAAAAAAAAAAAGAATCAGCTCCACTGAGGGGGCCCCTTAGTGGCCCCGGGGCCACTTAGGGGCCGGCCCTGACTCATCAGACTGACATGTTGTGGGACAGAGGCGCAGGTTGGATGTAAATTTTCGCAGGCTAAAAGGCAGTAGCCGGATGGAATCCATCTTGGAGAAGCTGCTAGTTTTGGCCCAGTGGAAACGACCATGCTAATTTGGATCAACAGAAATGTACCGGTTGAGACTAGGGCAGATGAAAATTTAAATTTTGCACCATCTACACGTAATTAGTTTATTCTGAATCTGGCACCTCTGACTGGCTGCATCAAATTTCCTGGAGTTTAGGTCAACAGCTGCTTCCCCCCCCAAGTCACCTGTGGAACCACATGGCTGAAACCAAAGACATGACATCGTCTCATCATGGCTCCTGATCTCACCGCCTTTCACTGGCTCATGTCTTTGTAATGTCTGAAATTTGCTACATATTTTATGTCATTTCTGCCCTGTTCGTCTCTCCAGCCTTGTTTTATTACTGTCAGAAGTTGTGGCGTACTCACTCTTTGACCAATATTATACTTTTTAGATTATTATGCAGAGAAACTCCTATTAGTTTTTCCAGCTTCTAGCTTATGAATGTTAAATTATGGAGTACTTATAATTATCTTGCAACCCCTAAAAGGAATTAGAACAAACTTATAATCCAGAGGATTATAAGTTTGTTGCTGCTCAACGTGAGCAGGAATCTGCAGAAACGTCCTACTTTATAAATCATGCATTACTTATTCTTAAACACGGGGAACTAATATTTTAGACTTTTTCTTCTTTTGCTCTTTGCTTTGGTTTGTTATTTTATTTCCTTCTGATTCATGTAAAGCACTTTGAATTGCCTTGTTGCTGAAAATGTGCTTTATAAATAAAATGACCTGAACGTGGACCTGGATGGTTCCGTTTACTAGTTACCGTCTGTATTCATTTTCCATTTATTCTCATTTATTTTAGACTGGGTCGAGTTTAAACTAACTTGCATTTTAAAGCAACAAAAACA